TATATTATAAATGTTATTATATAAATATATATTATTATTATTAAAATAACTTCTCCAGCCCCCAAATTGTTATGTTCCAGTAGCATTCTCTCCTGACATTTCTCCTGCATCTGTGGTTCATGGCATCCTCAGAGGTTTGTTCATGCCTACCATAGATGCAGGTGACATGTCAGGAGAGAATGCTACTGGAACATAACAGTTTGGGGGCTGGAGAAGTTATTTTAATAATAATAATATATTTATATAATATAACAATATATTTATATTATATAATATATAATATAATAATATAATAATATTTGGGGGCTGGAGAAGTTATTTTAATAACAATAATAATAATAATAATAATGTAATATTTATAATATAATAAATGTTATATAATATCCTATTACTACTGGAACATGGCCATACAACACAAAAAACTCACAGCTATCCAGGCTTTGTTTATTTGAGGCAAATGTGAATGTTGCAATTAGTAAACTTGATTAGCATTGAGTAGCCTTGCAGCTGCAAAGCCTGGCTGTTGTTGTTGTTGTTGTTGTTACTTCTTCCCCCCCCCCCCCCCGGAGTTGTATAAATAAATATAACAATGATGTGAGGTCATAAATGTATGATGATGCATGATGATGATGAGATAAAGCTGTGTCTAAATAAATATAGTGAAGATGATGAGGATGATGATAGTTTCCCAGTTGAGCACCTGTATCTAAAAGAGGCCTACAAAGACCTAGAGTGCTAGAGTTGGAAGAGACCCCCATAGGCCATCTAGTCCCACCCCTTCCTGCAAGGAAAGCCACAATCAAAGCACCCCCGGCAGATGGCCATCCAGCCTCTGCTTCCAAGCTTCCAAGGAGAGTTAGTGGAGAGTTCAGGAGACATAAAGCCCTTCTTGCAGTCACGAGGAGGCAGTTGTTGTGATCACAACAGGCCTTAAGGAATGGCTGTTGAGCTCGAAAGCGGTGTGAGTGGCTCTTGGGCTCAAGGAGGCCTTTGTGGTGGCCAGGAGCCTTCCGGAATGGCTCATGCGGGCAAGGATCACAGCAAGCCTGCACTGAGGCGCCTTGGGTGGAGGCAACGGGCCTGCCTTGCTTCGCTGCTCCTGGGCCAAGCAGCAGCTACCGGCGCAGAACGAGGCCTGCCTGGGCCAACCTGGGCCCTCCCAGGAAAGGGTTTTGGACCCCCGTTCCCACAATGTGGGACAGCCGGTGGGCACTGGAAGGCGTCTGGACGCAGAGTAAGTGCCATTTTGAAGGAGGAAGGAGAAGGAGAAGAGGAGGAAGGAGAAGAGGGGGAAGGGGGAAAGTAGGAGAAGAGGAGGAAGAGGAAAGAGGAGGAGGAGAGGAGGGAGGAGAAGAAAAGAGAAAGGAGGGAGAAGAAAGGAAATAGAAGGAGAAGAGGAAGGGAAAGAGGAGGAGAAAGAGGAGGAAGGGAAGAAAAGGAAAAGAGAAGGAGAAGAGGGAAGGAGAAAAAGAAGAAGAAAAGGAGGAAGGGGGAAAGTAGGAGGAGAGGAGGGGAAAAGAGGAGGAGGAGAGGAGGAAGGAGAAGAAAAGGAAAGAGAAAGATAAGAGGAGGAAGGAGAAGGGGAAGGAGAAGAAAAGGAAAGAGAACCAAAAGAGGAGGAAGGGGAAAGAGAAGGAGAAGAGGAGGAAGGAGAAGAAAAGGAAAGAGAAAGATAAGAGGAGGAAGGAGAAGGAGAAGCGGAGGAAGGAGAAGAAAAGGAAAGAGAAACAGAAGAGGGAGGAAGGGAAAAGAGAAGGAGTAAAGGAAGAAGAAGAGGAGGAGGAGGAAGAGAGGACATAAAGAAAGAAGAGGAAGGAGAAGAAAAGGAAAGAGAAACAGAAGAGGAGGAAAGAGAAAGAGGAGGAAAAGAGGAGGAAGGAGAAGGGGAAGGGGAAGGAGAAGAATAGGGAGGGAAAAGAAAAGGAGAAAGAGAAGGAGAGAGTGAAGGAGAAAAAGAGGAAAGAGGCGAGGAAAGAGCAGAAGGCGAAGGGAGGAGAAGGAAAACGAGAAGAGGAGGAAGGAAAAGAAGAGGAAGGAGAAAGAGGAGTAGAAGAGGAGGAAGGGAAAAGAGAAGGAGTAAAGGAAGAAGAAGAGGAGGAGGAGGAAGAGAGGACATAAAGAAAGAAGAGGAAGGAGAAGAAAAGGAAAGAGAAACAGAAGAGGAGGAAAGAGAAAGAGGAGGAAAAGAGGAGGAAGGAGAAGGGGAAGGGGAAGGAGAAGAATAGGGAGGGAAAAGAAAAGGAGAAAGAGAAGGAGAGAGTGAAGGAGAAAAAGAGGAAAGAGGCGAGGAAAGAGCAGAAGGCGAAGGGAGGAGAAGGAAAACGAGAAGAGGAGGAAGGAAAAGAAGAGGAAGGAGAAAGAGGAGTAGAAGAGGAGGAAGGGAAAAGAGAAGGAGTAAAGGAAGAAGAAGAGGAGGAGGAGGAAGAGAGGACATAAAGAAAGAAGAGGAAGGAGAAGAAAAGGAAAGAGAAACAGAAGAGGAGGAAAGAGAAAGAGGAGGAAAAGAGGAGGAAGGAGAAGGGGAAGGGGAAGGAGAAGAATAGGGAGGGAAAAGAAAAGGAGAAAGAGAAGGAGAGAGTGAAGGAGAAAAAGAGGAAAGAGGCGAGGAAAGAGCAGAAGGCGAAGGGAGGAGAAGGAAAACGAGAAGAGGAGGAAGGAAAAGAAGAGGAAGGAGAAAGAGGAGTAGAAGAGGAGGAAGGGAAAAGAGAAGGAGTAAAGGAAGAAGAAGAGGAGGAGGAGGAAGAGAGGACATAAAGAAAGAAGAGGAAGGAGAAGAAAAGGAAAGAGGAAAGAGAAGCAGAGGAGGAAGGAGAAAGAGGAGAAGGAGTAGAGGAAGGAGAAGACGGGAAAAGCAAAGGAGAAAAGGGAAGGAGGAGAGAAAGGAGGAGGAGGAAAGAAAGAAGAGGAAGAAGAAAAAGGGAGAAAAGCAGGAGGGAGAAGAAAAGGAAAAAGAAGAGAACGAGAAAGAGAAGGAGGAAAAGAGAACAGGGAGGAGAACAAGAGGAAAGGGAAGGAAAAAATGAGGAAGGAGAAGAAAAGGAAAGAGAGAAGAAGGAAAAAAAGAAGGGAGGAGAAAGAGAAGGGGAAGGAGAAAGAAGAGGGGGAAGAGGAGAAGGAGCTAGAAGAAGAAGTGAGAGGAAAGGAGAAAAAGAAGTAGAAGAGAGAAAGAAAAAGAAGGGGAGGAGAAAAGAAGGAAAAGGAGAAGTAGAAAGGGAAGGAGAAGGAGGAGAAAGAAAAAGTGAAGGTGTAGAGAGGAAAAAGAAGAAGAATAGGGAGGAAGGGAAAAGAGAAGAGAGTAAAGGAGGAAGGAGAAGGAAGAGGGGAAGAGAGAAGGAAGAGAAAAAGAGGGGAAGAGAAAAGGAAAGAGGAAAGAGGAGGAGGAAGGGGGAGGAGAGGAGGAGGGAGGAGAAAGAAGGGGAAGGAGAAGAGGAAGGAGAAGAAGAGGAAGGGAAAAGAGAAGGAGAAAAGGGGGGAAGGAGAGAGAGGAGGAAGAAGAGAGAAGGGAGGAAAAAGAAAAAGAGAAGGAGTAAAGGAGGGAGAAGAGGAGAAAGAGAAGGGTGGAGTAAAAAAGAAGGGGAAGGAGAAGAAAAGGAAAGAGGAGAAGAGGAAGGAGGAGAGGAGGAAGGGAAAAGAGAAGGAGAAAAGGGGGAAGGAGAGAGAGGAGGAGGAGGAAGAGAGAAGAGGGGAAAGAAAAAGATTAGGAGTAGAGCGGGAAAAGGAGAAAGAGAGGGAGGGAAAAGAGAAGGAGTAAAAGATGAAGAAGGAAGAGGAGGAGGAAGAGAGAAGGGAGGAGAAAAAGAGAAGGGGAAGGAGAAGAAAAGGAAAGAGGAGAAAAGGAGGGAGAAGAGGTGGAAGGGAAAAGAGATGGAGAGAAGGGGGAAGGAGAGAGAGGAGGAGGAGGAAGAGCGAAGGGAGGAGCAAGAAAAAGAGAAGGAGTAGAGAGGGGAAAGGAGAAAGAGAGGGAGGGAAAAGAGGAGTAAAAGATGAAGAAGGAAGAAGAGGAGGAAGAGAGAAGGGAGGAGAAAAAGAGAAGGGGAAGGAGAAGAAATGGAAAGAGGAGAAAAGGAGAAGAGGTGGAAGGGAAAAGAGATGGAGAGAAGGAGGAAGGAGAGAGAGGAGGAGGAGGAAGAGCGAAGGGAGGAGCAAGAAAAAGAGAAGGGGTAGAGAGGGAAAAGGAGAAAGAGAGGAAGGGGAGAAAGGAATCCAGGCAGCAGGGCATTCGTTGCCGCCAGGTCCCTTCCCGGCTCGGCTTCCTCTCCGCGCGCCTTCCTGGGGATGAGAGCCGGGGCCCCCCTCTTCTTCCTTCTCCTTCCTTCCTTCTCCTTCCTTCCTTCTTTCCTTGCTTGCTTGCTTCCTCGCTCCGCCCGAGCGCCGGCTTCCTGCTTCCCCCCAAAAGCGTGCGTTTCCATTGTGAGGAAGCTTCTTCCATTGTGACGTCGCGGCGGGCGGGCGGGCGGGCGGGGCGAGGGCTTTGCCCGCGGTGTCCATATATGGGCAGCTACGTCACGGAGCGTTCCCTTCGCTCACATAAATAGCCCGGCGGTGTTTCCCTGGCGGAGCATTTGGGAGCGGAGAAGGAGGAGAAGAAGGAGGAGGAGGAGGAGAAGGGAGGAAGGGAGGAAGGGAGGCGGAGCGGCGGAGAGGGAGAAGGAGGGAAAAGAGGGAGGGAAAAGAGAGAGGGAGGGAGGGAAGAAGAAGAAGAAGAAGCCAGGAAGGAAGCAAGGCAGGAGCGAGCCCGGGCTCTTCTACCGAGAAGCGAGGAAAGAAGGAAGAAGGAAGGAAGGAAGGAAGGAGCGCGCGGGCGGGCGGGCGTGCGTCCCTCGTCCGGAGGAAGGAGAGCGGGCCGCCCCCGTCTCCGCGGCCCCCCGGACCCGCCCCCGCATGAGCGCCGCGGCGCGGATTTGCCTTTCGGATGCCGCCGCCGTCGCCACCCCTGCCGCCTCGCCGGGAAGGGATCCGGGCGCCGCGCTGAGCGCCCCCGCCCTGGCCCTCGCCCTCGCCCTCGCCTTCCTGGCCCGCGGGCTATGACCGGGAAGCTGGCGGAGAAGCTGCTGCTGCCGGGGACCATGAACGCGCTCCTGAGCCAGCTGCCCGACGCGCTCTACCCCGACGAGATCCCCAGCTCGCTCCACCTCTTCTCCGAGGCCGCCGCCGCCGCCCACTACAACCCCCACATGGCCGCAGCAGGTGAGCCCCGGGGGGGGGAGGGCGGGGGCGGCATATTGGGGAGAGGGGGCAGGCCTCCCCGCCCCAGCAAGGAGGACCCCTCGTCGAGGAAGGTCTCCATCCCTCTCTCAGCCTTCCTTCCTTCCTTCTCTCCCCTTCCTAGGCCCCCGATACCGTCCTTTCCCTTCAGAAAGTCCTTTCCCCCCTCCCACTGGGACCCCCGGCTCCCGCCCTCCCCCTCAGGAGACCCCTTTCGCCCACCTTGAGACCCCAGCAAGGAGGCCCCCTCATTGAGGAAGGTCTCCATCCCTCTCTCCGCCTTCCTTCCCTCCTTCTCTCCCCTTCCTAGGCCCCCGATACCGTCCTTTCCCTTCAGAAAGTCCTTTCCCCCCTCCCACTGGGACCCCCGGCTCCCGCCCTCCCCCTCAGGAGACCCCTTTCGCCCACCTTGAGACCCCAGCAAGGAGGCCCCCTCATTGAGGAAGGTCTCCATCCCTCTCTCCGCCTTCCTTCCCTCCTTCTCTCCCCTTCCTAGGCCCCCGATACCGTCCTTTCCCTTCAGAAAGTCCTTTCCCCCCCTCCCACTGGGACCCCCGGCTCCCGCCCTCCCCCTCAGGAGACCCCTTTCGCCACTTTGAGACCCCAGCAAGGAGGACCCCTCGTCGAGGAAGGTCTCCATCCCTCTCTCAGCCTTCCTTCCTTCCTTCCTTCCTTCCTTCCTTCCTTCCTTCCTTCCTTCCTTTCCCCTCAAGAAGTCCTTTCCCCCCTCCCACTGGGATCCCCGGCTCCCGCCCTCCCCCTCAGGAGACCCCTTTCTGCCACTTTGAGACCCCAGCAAGGAGGACCCCTCGTCGAGGAAGGTCTCCATCCCTCTCTCAGCCTTCCTTCCTTCCTTCCTTCCTTCCTTCCTTCCTTCCTTCCTTCCTTCCTTCCCTTCCTCCCTCCCTCCCTCCATCCCTTCCTTCCCAGATCTTGTTTCCAACCGTCCTTTCCCCTCAAGAAGTCCTTTCCCCCCTCCCACTAGGATCCCCGGCTCCCTCCCTCCCACCTCAGGAGACTCTTTTCGGCCACTGTGAGACCCCAACAAGGAGCCCCCCCCCATTGAGGAAGATCTCCATCCCTCCACCTGTCTCTCTTCCCTTCCTTCCTTCCTTCCTTCCTTCTCTCCCCTTCCAAGGCCCTCCATGCTGTCCTTTCCCCTCAAGAAGTTCTTTTCCCTCCCCTGCCATTGAAATCCTTCCCTCCTTCCTTCCTTCTCTCTCCTTCCAAAGCCTCCATGCCATCCTTTCCCCTCAGAAAGTCCCTTCCCCCCTCCCCCGGGACCCCCGGAGTCCCTCCCCCTCAGGAGACCCTTTTCGGCCACCGTGAGACCCCTCGTCGAGGAAGGTCTCCATCCCTCCACCCGTCTCTCTTCCTTTCTCCCTCCCTACCTTCTCTCTCTGAGGGAGTCCTGTTCCTTCTGCCATTGGAATCCCTCCGTCTCTCTTTCCTTCCTTCCTTCCTTCCTTCCTTCTTTCCTTCTTCTCTCTCCTTTCAAAGCCCTCCATGCCGTTCTTTCCCCTCAGAAAGTCCTATTGAATCCTTATCTCTCCCCCCCCCCTCAGGAGACCCTTTTCGGCCACTTTGAGACCCCAGCAAGGAGGCCCCCTCATTGAGGAAGCTCTCCATCCCTCTACCCGTCTCTCGTTCCTTCCTTTCTCCCTCCCTACCTTCTTCTCTCTGAGGGAGTCCTGTTCCTTCTGCCATTGGAAGCCCTCCGTCTCTCTTCTCTTCCCTTCCTTCCTTCCTTCTCCCCCTCCGAGGCCCTCGATGCTGTTTTTTCCCTTCAGGAAGTCCTATTGAATCCCTATCTCCCTCCCTTCCTCAGAAGACCCCTTTCGCCCACCTTGAGACCCCAGCAAGGAGGCCCCCTCGTTGAGGAAGATCTCCATCCCTCTCTCCGCCTTTCTTCCCTTCCTTCCTTCCTTCCTTCTCTCCCCTTCCAAGGCCTTCGATGCCGTTCTTTCCCCTCAAGAAGTTCTTTTCCCTCTCCTGCCATTGAAATCCCTGGCCCCCTCCCCACCTCAGGAGACCCTTCTCCATCCCTCCCTCCGTCTCTCTTCCCTTCCTCCTCCCTTCTTTCTTTCCTCTTCTCTCCCCCTCCGAGGCCCTCCATGCCGTTCTTTCCCCCCTCCCATTAGAAATCCCCGGCTCCCTCCCCCTCAGGAGACCCTTTCGGCCACTTTGAGACCCCAGCAAGGGGGGCCCTGGTTGAGGAAGGTCTCCATCCCTCCACCCGTCTCTCTTCCCTTCCTTCCCTCCTTCCTTCTCTCCCGCTCCGAGGCCCTCGATGTCGTTCTTTTTTCTCTCAGAAAGTCCTGCTCCCCTCTGCCATTGGAATCCCTGGCGCCCTCCCCTCCTCAGGAGACCCCTTGAGACCCCAGCAAGGAGGCCCCTCGTTGAGGAAGGTCTCCATCCCTCTCTCCGTCTCTCTTCCCTTCCTTCCACCCTTCTTTCCTTCTCTCTCTTAGGAAGTCCTGTTCCTTCCGCCATTGGAATCCCTCTGTCTCTCTTGGCCTTCCTTCCTTCTCTCTCCCTCCAAGGCCCTCGATGCTGTTCTTTCCCCTCAGCAAGTCCTGTTCCCCCCTCCCACTGGGATCCCCGCGCCCCCCCCTCAGGAGACCCCTTTCAGCCACTTTGAGACCCCAGCAAAGAAAGATCTCCATCCCTCCCTCTGTCTCTCCTTCCTTCCTTCTCTCTCCCTCCAAGGCCCTCGATGCCATTCTTCCCCTCAGCAAGTCCTGTTCCCCCCTCCCACTGGGATCCCCGAGTCCCTCCCCCTCAGGAGACCCTTTTCAGCCACTTTGAGACCCCAGCAAGGAGGCCCTCGTTGAGGAAGGTCTCCATCCCCCCCCCTTTCTCTTCCCTTCCTTCCCTCCTTCCTTCTCTCCCGCTCCGAGGCCTTCGATGCCATTCTTTCCCCTCAGAAAGTCCTGTGCCCCCCCCTCCCAGTGAAATCCCCGGCTCCCTCCCCCCCTCAGGAGATCCTTTTCGGCCACTTTGAGACCCCAGCAAGGAGACCCCCTCATTGAGGAAGCTCTCCATCCCTCCCTCGGTCTCTCATCCCTTCCTTCCCTCCTTCCTTCCTTCTCTCCCCTTCCAAGGCCGTTCTTTCCCCCCAGGAAGTCCTGTGCCCCCTCCCATTGGAACCTCCAACTGCCTCTCCTCCTCAGGAGACCCTTGAGGCCCCCTTGAGGCCCCCCATAGAGGAAGGAGAGCAGCCCAAGCCCAGTCTGTCCCGCCCTGCCTCCTCCTCCTCCTCCGCCCGGGCCTCCTCTCCCGGCTCTTGGGCACAGGAACTAGCCGAGCTCCAAGGCGATGGATCGAGAGAGCCCCCCAAGGGAGCCCATCTCTACCCCTCCCTCTCTATTCCTTTTTCCTTCCTTTCTTTCCGTCCAGGGCCACTCGGGCTCCCTCCAGGCTGCCCTCGAGGCGGTTCTCCCCCCCCCCCCCCGCTTCTGCCACTGGACTCTCCTCAGGAGACCCCTTTCCGGCCCCCTTGAGACCCCAGCCAGGAGGAAAGAGAGCACCCCCAGACCCGCCCCCCCCCCCCGGCTGCGGGTGGCCCCGGCCTCCTCTCCCGGCTCTTGGAGGCGAGGGCCAGGCTGCTTCCCGGCTCCAAGGCGGTGGATCACTGGAGCCCCCAAATGGATCCCCGCGGCAGCGGGAAAGCGTCCTCTTGGGCGGGAGGAAGGGGCACGGGGGGCTCGCCCAGGTCCTCCTCTCCTCCGAGAAGGCAGACTTGGGCGGGGGGGGGGTCTTGCCCGAGGCTTCCCGAACACAACACGGCCATCCAGGGCTTGAGATCGGGTTGTGGATCCCTCCCCGGGTGGATCAGGTTGTGAGAACTCGAACTCGAGGAGGGGAGGATTCAAGGCAGCGCAGTTGGCAGAACGGGTGAAGGCCTTCCAAAGGGCGGGGGTGGGGGTGGTCGGTGGGGTCTTCTAGCCCAGCCCTGTTTTCCTCCTTTCCTCCCTTCTTCTCTTCATTTCTTTCTTCATTCACTTCCTTTCTCCGTTTTTCTTCCTTTCCTCCTATTTTTCCTTCCTTCCTTTACTTTTCTCCTTCCTTTCTTTTTCCTCCCTCCCTTCTTCCTTTCCTTCTCCCTTCCTTCTCTTCTTTCCTTCCTTCCTTCTTCCTTCCTTCTCTTCCTTCCTTCTTCCTTCCTTCCTTCCTTTTCTTTTTCTTTCCTTCTTCTCTCTTCTCTCCTTCCTTCTTCCTTCTTCCTCTCTTCCTTTCCTTCCTTCCTTTCTTCTTCCTTCCTTTTTCATTCCTCCTTCTTCTCCCTTCTTTTCCTTTCTTTCTTCCTTCTCTTCCTCTTCCTTTCTTTCCTCCCTTCTTTTCTTTCTTCTTCCTTCCTTCCCTTTTCTCCTTCTCTTTCTTCCTTCCTTCCTTTTTCTTTTCTTCTTCCTCCTTCCCTCCTCCTTCCTTCCTTCTTCCTTTTCTTCTTCCTTCTTCTTTCCTTTCCTCCTTCCTCCTTCCTTTCTCTTCCTTCCTCCCTCCTTTCTTCTCCTTCTTCTTTCTTTCTTCTTTCTCCTCCTTCTTCTTCCTCCCTCCTCCTTCCTCCTTTCCTTCCTTCTTCCTTCCTTCTCTTCTTCCTTCTTCCTTCTTCTTTCCTTCCTCCCTCCTCCTTCCTTCCTTCTTTCCTCTTCCCTTCCTTTTTCATTCCTTCCTCCCCTCCTTCCCTTCCTTCCTCCCTCCCTTCCCTTGCCCTCCTTCCCTTCTTTCTCTCTTCTTCTCCTTCTCCTTCTCCTCCACAGAGAACGTGATGGACTTGGGCCTGGGCGGCGGCGAGAAGGGCGTCGGGGGCGGTGGGGAGCTGCCTCCTCCCTCGGGGGGCTCCTACTCGGGCTCCTTCCAGGCGGCGCCGGGGGCCAAGCAGACGGTGACCTACCTGGGCAAGTTCGCCTTCGACTCGCCCTCCAACTGGTGCCAGGACAACATCATCAGCCTCATGAGCGCCGGCATCCTGGGCGTCCCGCCCCCGCCGCCGCCCCCGCCGCACTCTTCCTCTTCCGCTTCCACTTCCTCCTCGCAGACGCCGTCTTCCTCGTCGGCTTCCTCCTCCTCGTCGGTGCCGGTGGCGCAGGGCGAGGTGGAGGGCCTGTACGCGGCGCTGCCCCCCCCGCCCTACGCCTCGGGCTGCGCGGAGATGGGCTACCCGGGCGAGGGGGGGCCTTTCCACGACCCGCAGCCCTACGCCCCGCACCCCCCGCACGCCCCTCCGCCTCAGGACTACGCGGCGCCCAAGGGGAACAACGTGGGGGTGGGGGGCGGCCTGGACGGCGGGGGGCTCTTCCCCATGATCCCGGACTACGGGCTGTACCACGGGCCCCACGCGGGCGGGGAGATGGGCGGCGGGGGCGAGCACAAGCCCTTCCTGGAGCCCCTCCGCGTCAACCCGCCGCCCATCACCCCCCTGGAGACCATCAAGGCCTTCAAGGACAAGCAGATGCCCCCCCCTCCGCATCCTCCCCCTCCTCCGGGCTTCGGCGCCCACCTGGGCCACCCCCCGCCGCTGACGCTGAAGCCCATCCGCCCGCGGAAGTACCCCAACCGGCCCAGCAAGACCCCCTTGCACGAGCGGCCCCACGCGTGCCCGGCCGAGGGCTGCGACCGGCGCTTCTCGCGCTCCGACGAGCTGACGCGGCACCTGCGGATCCACACGGGACACAAGCCCTTCCAGTGCCGCATCTGCATGCGCAGCTTCAGCCGCAGCGACCACCTCACCACCCACATCCGCACCCACACCGGGGAGAAGCCCTTCGCCTGCGAGTTCTGCGGGAGGAAGTTCGCGCGCTCCGACGAGCGCAAGCGGCACGCCAAGATCCACCTCAAGCAGAAGGACAAGAAGGCCGACAAGGCCGACAAGGCGGGGGGCGGGGGGGCCGCGGGAGGGGGCCACGGCCACGCCAACACCACCCCCTCCGCCTCCGCCGCCTCCGCCATCCCCGGCCCCGCGGTGGGGGTCCCCTCGGGAATGGCCCCCGCCGTCACCACCTGCGCCTGACGCCACGGGGCCGCCTCCGGGGGGCAAAGGGGGGCAGGAGGAGCAGAAGGAGGAGGAGGAGGAGGAGCCCCCTTCAAGGAGGAGGACCTGGAGGAGGAGGAGGAGGAAGGCGGCCCTTGGCGCACGGGAGCCCCTCTCTGGGGGGCGGGGGGCTTGGAGGGGTTCTTCGGGGGAGGAGGAGGAGGAGGAGGGGGATTCCCCCACCCAGAGCAGGCCTGGGGGGCGGGCCCTTGGGGGGCGGGGCCCTGGAGACCCTGAGGGGCAGCAAGCAGAGGACAGGGAAGCTTTGGGCACTCCAGCTAGGCTTGTCTTGGTGGACACCTCCTCTCCTCTCCAGGAAGGAAGGAAGGAAGGGCCTCCAGTCCACGCAGCTACTTCTCCTGCGTGTTGGAAGTTCTCTCCTCTTCTCTCGTCTCCAGGAAGGAAAGAGGAAAGGAAGGAAGGAATGAAGGACCTCCAGTCCACACTGCTACTTCTCCTGCGTGTTGGAGGTCCTCTCCTCTTCTCTCTTCTCCAGGAAGGAAGGAAGGAAGGAAGGAAAGAAGGACCTCCAATCCACAGAACTACTTCAGCTGTGTGTTGTTGGCCACCTCCTCTCCTGGAAGGAAAGAAGGGCCTCCAGTCCACACAGCTACTTCTCCTGTGTGTTGGAGGTCCTCTCCTCTCCAGGAAGGAAAGAAGGAAGGAAGGAAAGAAGGAAAGAAGGAAGGGTCTCCAGTCCACGCAGCTACTTCTCCTGTGTGTTGGAAGTTCTCTCCTCTTCTCTCGTCTCCAGGAAGGAAAGAGGAAAGGAAGGAAGGAATGAAGGACCTCCAGTCCACACTGCTACTTCTCCTGCGTGTTGGAGGTCCTCTCCTCTTCTCTCTTCTCCAGGAAGGAAGGAAGGAAGGAAGAAGGAAGGAAGGACCTCCAATCCACAGAACTACTTCAGCTGTGTGTCGTTGGCCACCTCCTCTCCTGGAAGGAAAGAAGGGCCTCCAGTCCACACAACTACTTCTCCTGTGTGTTGGTGGCCCTCTCCTCTCCTGGAAGGAAGGAAGGAAGGAAGGAAGGAAGGAAGGAAGGAAGGGCGGGCCTCCAGTCCACACAACTACTTCTCCTGTGTGTTGGAAGTTCTCTCCTCTCCAGGAAGAAAGGAAGGACTTCCAATGCACACAATTATTTCTGCTGTGTGTTGGTGGCCCTCTCCTCTCCAGGAACGAAGGAAGGAAGGACAGACCTCCAGTCCACACAGCTACTTCTGCTGTGTGTTGTTGGCCACTTCTTCTTCTGGAAGGAAAGAAGGACATCCAGTTCACACAACTATTCTCCTATGTGTTTGGTGGCCCTCTCCTCTCCTGGAAGGAAGGACCTCCAGTCCACACAACCACTTCTGCTGTGTGTTGGAGGTCCTCTCCTCTTCAGGAAGGAAGGAAGGAAAGAAGGAAGGAAGGGCGGGCCTCCAGTCCACACAACTACTTCTCCTGTGTGTTGGAAGTTCTCTCCTCTCCAGGAAGAAAGGAAGGCCTCCAGTCCACACAATTACTCTGCTGTGTCTCTTTGGCCTTCTACTTTTCTTCTTTCTCCCTCGCTGTGTGTTGTTGGTCCTCTTCTTCGCACTCTTCTTCCCCCCCCCCCCCTTGTTGGCCCTCTCTTCTCCTGGAAGGAAGGGCCTCCCTGGTCCACACAACTCCTTCTGCTGTGTCTCTTTGGCCTTCTCCCCTTCTTCACACTCTTCTTCTCCACCCCCACCCCCTGCTGTGTCTTTTTGGCCTTCTCCTCTCTTTTCTTCACATTCTTCTCCTTCTCAACCAGAAGCAGATTCCCCCCCCCCCCCCCCCCCCCCCCCGCTTCCTGGAGGCTGCAGGCAGCTTCCTGGCCTCCCTCTCTTATTCCTTCAGAGAAGGAAGACCCTATAGATCAGGTATGGGCAAACCCAAGTCCAAGGGCCAGGTGCAGCCCTTTGGGCTCTTTTCTCATGTCCTCCTTTCTGTCACTGTCCTACCCTTCCATCTCTCTTTCCTTACTCCCACCCTCCTTCATTCCCTTCCACCCTTTCATTCTTCCTTCCTTCTTCCCTTCCCTCTTTCCTCCCTCCCTCCTTCCCTCTTTCTCCTATCCTCTTCTTTCTTTACTTCCTTCCTTCCTTCCTTCCTTCCTTCCTTCCTTCCTTCCTTCCTTCCTTCCTTCCTTTTCTTCCTTTCCTCAGTTTTCTTTTGTCTTTCTTTCCTCCCTCTTTCCTCCTCTTTCTTTCTCTTTCTCCTCCTCTTTCCTTCCCTCCCTTCCTTTCTTCTTCCTTCCTCTTTCCTTCCTCCTTCCCTTCCTTCCTTCCTTCCTTCCTTCCTTCCTGCTTTCCTTCCTTCCTTCCTTCTCTTTCCTCCCTCCCTTCCTTTCCTTCCTCTTCTTTCTCCTTCCTTTCTCTCTCTCCCGCCCTCCTTCCTTCTCTCTTTCTCTTCTCCTTTCCTTCTCCTCTTTCCTCCCTCCTTCCTCTCTCCCTCTTTCTCCTTCCTTTCTCTTTGTCTTCCTCCTTCTCTTCCCTCCCCCCCCCCCCGATTCCCTTCCTCCCTTCCTTCTCTTTTTCCTTCTCCTTTCCTACTGGGGGAGGTTTAGCTGGGAGAAGAGAAGGTCGAGAGGAGCAGGAGAACTAGAGTAAGAACTATGGGAGAGTGGCTGCCTGAGCCTGTGGTAGAGCCTCCTTCTCTGGAGGCTTTTCCACAGAGGCTGTCTATTGGGAGTGCTTTGTGCCTTCCTGCATGGCAGGGGGTTGGACTGGATGGCCCTTGGGGGTCTCTTCCAGCTTTAGGATTCTATCTCAGGAGTAGGCAAGACAGGATCTCATGGATACACTTTTCCCTCTCCCGTCCACCATATCCTGACCAAGGCAAATCCTTTTGGGATCCAAACATTTTCTGTCTTTCCTTCACTTTCTGCCTCCGAAAGAGAAGAGGAAGGGGAGGAAAGGGGCTTGGGGAGAACCTCCTCCTTCTTGGCCCACCTGACATGTAGTCCCCAAGTTAGAACGTTTGCCCATGCCTGTCCTATAGGTTCTTCTTCCTCCCGCTCTTCTCAAGGCTCTTCTTCTCCTTGGAAAGGGTTCATTTTTCTCTCAAAGTTGGGTCCTCCAGGTGTTTTGGAGTTCAACTCCCACCATTCCTGGGGATGGTATTTCCTCCAAAGGAGGACTCGGGATCACTTGAATGGGGATTTGCCGAGCGACCTCCCCCCCCCCCCCCCGTGGGCAGTCTGGCTCGCATGTAAATGCAAGACTGCACAACAAGGCTTCCTTTGAGACCAGATTTTGGCCAACTTGGGCCCTCCAGGTGTTTTGGACTCCATCTCCCACCATTCCTAAGAGCCTCAGCCCCTTCCCTTTTCCCACTCGATAGCCTCAGTCCCTTTCCTTTTAACCCTCGGCAGCCTCAGTCCCTTCCGTTCCCCCCCTCAGCAGCCTCAGTCCCTTTTCCTTTCCCCCCTTGGCAGCCTCAGTCCCTCTTCCTCCCCTCGGCAGCCTCAGTCCCTTTCCTTTCCGGCAGCCTCAGTCCCTTCCGTTTTCCCCCTCACCAGCCTTAGTCCCTTTTACTTTCCATCCTCAGCAGCCTCAGTCTTTTCCTTTTTCCTCCTTGGCAGCCTCAGTCCCTTTCCTTTTAACCCTCGGCAGCCTCAGTCCCTTCCGTTTTCCCCCTCACCAGCCTTAGTCCCTTTTACTTTCCATCCTCAGCAGCCTCAGTCTTTTCCTTTTTCCTCCTTGGCAGCCTCAGTCCCTTTCCTTTTAACCCTCGGCAGCCTCAGACCCTTTCCTTTTTTCCCTCGGCAGCCTCAGTCCCTTCCGTTCCCCCCCTCAGCAGCCTCAGTCCCTTTTCCTTTCCCCCCTCGGCAGCCTCAGTCCCTTTCCTTTTAACCCTCGGCAGCCTCAGTCCCTTCCGTTTTCCCCCTCACCAGCCTTAGTCCCTTTTACTTTCCATCCTCAGCAGCCTCAGTCTTTTCCTTTTTCCTCCTTGGCAGCCTCAGTCCCTTTCCTTTTAACCCTCGGCAGCCTCAGTCCCTTCCGTTTTCCCCCTCACCAGCCTTAGTCCCTTTTACTTTCCATCCTCAGCAGCCTCAGTCTTTTCCTTTTTCCTCCTTGGCAGCCTCAGTCCCTTTCCTTTTAACCCTCGGCAGCCTCAGTCCCTTCCGTTTTCCCCCTCACCAGCCTTAGTCCCTTTTACTTTCCATCCTCAGCAGCCTCAGTCTTTTCCTTTTTCCTCCTTGGCAGCCTCAGTCCCTTTCCTTTTAACCCTCGGCAGCCTCAGTCCCTTCCGTTTTCCCCCTCACCAGCCTTAGTCCCTTTTACTTTCCATCCTCAGCAGCCTCAGTCTTTTCCTTTTTCCTCCTTGGCAGCCTCAGTCCCTTTCCTTTTAACCCTCGGCAGCCTCAGTCCCTTCCCTTTTTTCCCTCGGCAGCTTCAGGCCCTTCCCTTTCCCCCCTCAGCAGCCTCAGTCCCTTTTCCTTTCCCCCCTTGGCAGCCTCAGTCTCTTCCTTTTTCCTCCTCGGCAGCCTCAGTCCCTTTCCTTTTAACCCTCGGCAGCCTCAGTCCCTTCCTCCCCCCCCCCTCAGCAGCCTCAGTCCCTTTCCTTTCCCCTCGGCAGCCTCAGACCCTTTCCTTTCCCCCCTCGGCAGCTTCAGGCCCTTTCCTTTCCTCCCTCGGCAGCCTCAGTCCCTTTCCTTTTTCCTCTCAGCAGCCTCAGTCCCTTTTCGTTTCCACCCTCAGCGGCCTCAGTCCCTTTCCTTTCCCCCCTCGACAGCCTCAGTCCCTTCCCTTTTCCCCCTCGGCAGCTTCAGGAAAGGGCCTGAGACAGTTAGGAATGGTGGGAGTTGAACTCCAAAACACCCGGAGGGCCCAAGTTGGGCCAAACCTGGGAGACAGCCTCATCTGCAAAGGTGCACAGCTTCAATTGAGATCCCAGACTTGTAGGTGGGACGCCTGACCTCAAAAGGCCCTTTCCCCCTTTCCCCTCCCGACCTCAAAGCCATCCCCAGAATCT